GATTAATGTTTGTTTTGTTGGTGCTCTGGACCTGGTTGTAATTTCCACAATTTCTTAACAATCTCTGGATTGGATCATTTACATTTTTGGATTGGATCATGGGAAATGTGTCCTGGTTCTTGTGCTTGAAAGGTCACTAATAAAGGTACATTTAGTTTGTATTTGGCTCATTTGGGAGTTAAACTCTCTCTCATTATAACCCAATAACTGGATTAATGTTTGTTTTGTTGGTAATTTCCATCATTTCATCACAAATTGGATCATTTCCAGAGCAGTCAGAACTTCAGACTGCTTTTTTTGTGTGTTTTTGTGTGTAATGGAGTCACACAATCTAATAACTAACCTAATAACTGGATTAATGTTTGTTTTGTTGGTACTCTGGACCTGGTTGAAATGTTAATTTCCATCATTTCATCACAATCTTTGGATTGGATCATTTCCAGAGCAGTTTTTGTGTGTTTTTGTGTGTAATGGAGTCAGAAAATGAAACCAGGAATCTCCATTTGGTTTGTTTACAGTCTCTCTAGATCTTTTTGCTGGATTTGTGCATCTGAAATCAGGAATCAATCAGGAAAAGGGAGGAGACATGTTGGGGGGGGGGGGGGGGGAAATATTTCCACGTTTTTGTGTTTTAAAGGTCACTATTAAAGGTACATTTAGAAAGGCCACTAACTCACTAATAAAGCTACATTTAGTTTGTGTTTGGGCCATGAAAAGGTCCATTTGGGATCCTAATAACTGGATTAATGTTGGTTTTGTTGGTAACTTCCATCATTTCATCACAAATTGGATCATTTCCAGAGCAGTTTTTGTGTGTGTTTGTGTGTTTTTGTGTGTGTTTGTGTGTATTATACTTTGTATTTGGGCCATGAGAAGGCTCATTTGGGAGTTAAACTCTCTCTCATTATAACCCAATAACTGGCTTAATGTTTGTTTTGTTGGTACTCTGGACCTGGTTGGTAATTTCCATCATTTCATCACAAATTGGATCATTTCCAGAGCAGTCAGAACTTTAGACGGATTTTTTTTATTGTGTTTGTGTGTAATGAAGTCACAAAAATCAGGAAAATCAGAATTCAGGAACCCCCATTTGGTTTGTTTACAGTCTCTCTAGATCTTTTTGTGGGATATGTGCATCTGATATGCATCAAACCCAGAACACAGAGGGATTTAACCAGGAAAAGGGAGGAGACGTGTTTG